ACTATCTATCTTGTAAGTAGTTTACTTTTTTCCCAATTCTCTAGCCATGTTTTTACTTGCATATGAGTTCTGTGTATTATATAAGCCAATAAATTGAGATATTGTATATTAATATTCTGCACTAAACTGATGGAGTATAAATACTGAATGAAAAAGCTGAATTTATGTATCAATCAATATGTAATATGAGGTAAGAAGAGATTTTAGAAATCATGTGTGCATGCTTTCTATGACTTGTTTTCAGTGTGAGGTCATCTTACTTAGTTCTCCCTTGTTATTTAATTTTCCCAACACGGTCTATTCATCCTTATGGTTCCCTTCCTTAAAAAATATTAAGAAAGCTCTACCTCTTACTACCCTATACTCTCAGACAACAGTACTAAATTATCTGCAGGAATATTTAAGTGTATGCACTAAAAATTGAAGAACAGTTTGAGTCAACAAAATACATAGTGGCTGGGTTGGTGGGGGAGAGCCAACCAGAACTCTCAGGGACAAATAAGCACATTTACAAATATATAAATTTTTAAAAATTGCATAAGTAACATCTTGTATAAAATGTCCTAACTTCTCTGATTATTTCAAATGAAGAAATTTGGGGCATCTGAAAATACATTATCAAGAAGTAAAATGAAAAGAGGCCTTACGGTGATGATTCCAGAATGATGCTATTAGCTTGTGTTGATGATGGAGATCTCTCATTCACAAATACTTCACTTGGGGAAGTGTGAACCACATGGTCTACCAAATGACCAACTGACGATGGTCGTAACCGGGTTCCCTCTTGTGTGAATGCAGAATTTCGACTAAATGAAGACAGAAAAAACTGAATGAAAATATGCTTTAATTCAATTTTGCCCATTTTCTTAATTATATGACCACATCAGAATGTGAGTGTGTGTTTTGAAGACTAACCATGTGGACTAAGTCTCTGATAAACACAGTATGATGGAAACAGAAAGAACAAAGAATGAGAAGTCAGAGATATGAGCTGTAGTCAACAATCTGCCACGAGGATTTTACCCATTCAGTCATCTATTATCTTTAACTACTTTAATGTTTCAAGGTTTTAGTCACTATAATTTCATCTTATTCAGCATTTATAAAAAAAAAGAAGTTAGAATAATTTAAAAATATCTTCTAGTCTGAATTATTTTTTAATCCTTGTAAATGTTTTCATTTATGAAACTTCAAGTCCTAAAAGTAAATAATGAATGCCATATTTCCATCTTTATAAGTCACATAAATTATTAGTCATTACAATTATTAATTACAGTAAGTAATATTTGACCATTTATTTTGTGTGAGACATTGTTCTAAGCAATTTAAATATATCACTTCATTTAAGTCTCATAACAATATTATAAGATGTTGTTATAAATATAATTTTGTAGATGGGGAAAATGAGATTGATTAACTTGCACAAGATTCAAAGTACAGTGACTCCAATGTTCATGCTTTTCACCATCGCACTGTACTCTCTCTTTAGAACTAAAAAAACAACCTTTTTCAGATGATATCTAGAATTGTTTCATTAACCAGAAAACTTAATCACAGCTACTGTTAATTAATTATTTGAATTATCTGGTTTAAACTTTGTGTTTCTATATTTCACTATAATTATAATTACTTAGTGGTGCTGGTAACAAATGGAGAAATGGCTGACTGCAAAAGGGGGCAGAAAAAGAAGGTTCTGAATTTTCTTCAAATAAGCTGATGAGCCACTAAATATATGCAATATTTTATTTTAAAAAAAAAAGATTAAGCAATCTGCAATTAGCAAGACAGAAACTATTGAGTCCATTTTTTCTATAAGCAAAGAAGACACCTAGGTATTAAAGTTCTGCTAACCAAACTGTTTATGTACATATTTTACTTCCAATATGGTAGAAATTTATTCTTTTTTTTTTTCTTTTTCCTTTTTGTCTTTTTTCGTGTCCGGCAACGGATCGCAACCCTCAGTGTCGCGCCCGTACCGGACCGGGACCGGCAACGGGATCGCAACCCTTGGTGTCGCGCCCGCACCTCGCTCAGCCAATGAGCGGGAACCGGTCTGTATGTGGGATCCGAACCCTCGGCGGGAGCGCCACCGCCCTCCCAAGCGGCGCACTGTAGCAGTGCGCCACCGGGCTGGCCCAGAAATTTATTCTTTGACAACACCTATCAGCGACGTAGCTTTTAGAATTTAGTGCAAATTTATTCAACATTAATGTGCATAAAATACTTTCAAAGGAAGACTTCTTCAAATATTAATTTCCATACTAAAATTAAAAGAACCTTTTGGGTTAACAAAGCATGTTAATATGCTGACACACTTTTGTTTACCATTATCTTAATTACATACATATATGAGTATTACATATAACACATTTGATAATATTATAAAATTAAGATAATCAAAATCTTTGGCTAGTATAAGTTTATTATCTACACCCAGCTTTGTGAGAAATGCTACACTGAAGTACATACACAATAAGTGCTGAATCACACAGTGCTTCTTAGGACAGATATAGCTAAGCTTGTGGGGGCTGGTGTTAAAAAGTGGTAGAGCTATGGTTGGGGTGGGGGTTTAAGTAACAGAATCACAATTACTTGGAAAGTATATTCAAATAATATATGTTCCCCTAGAAATTCTGTTGGTAATCCACATGGAAAAAGATTATGTCAACAACGACCATATGAGAGATGGTTAGATAACAGATCTCAATTTATTGGCTAGGGACCCTTACTGTGAAAGTCAATTGTTGAGGAAAGTGAGGGTCTTTATTCAATGCTCTACTCCCTTATTCCCCAAGGCTATTCCATAACACTTCTACAATAAGCAGCAGGCAAAGAGGAAATAATGCTGCTCTGGAGCAAAAGAAAAAAAACATATCAGGTTTGATCAAAAGCGTAAAATTTTTACATATTTTGATCTGCAGGTAATGGAAATATATAACCAATAATTTAGAAATTAGCCAAATGGACACTTAATGTTGGTCAGTACTTACTGATTAGGAGTTCCAGGTGGAGACCGTGATGGGAGGCTTTGTGTTTCTAACCTTTCATCAGATGCTGAATTTCTGCTTACTATTTCCCAATCCATTAATTTCCTTACCAAGGGTTTACTTGGGGACCTGCAGAAAAAATTTCAATAATATGCAAAAAGATTTATTTTTATATCCCAAACTATGAATAAAATCTTAGAATTTGTTTTAATAGATCATATATAGATGAGTCAACATAAGCAGTTTACTTATAAAAAATTAATGCATTTAGAGATTATTTACCAAATAATTTCCTAAGAAAGTACATTTGCTTTATATAAAGAAGGAAGGAAAGACAGGCTAGAAAGAGTAGGATAGAGAAAAAAAGAGAAGAAACAGGAAAAGGAAGGAGAAAGTGAAAAAATGAGGCAATAGTTTGCTACCAAATGTTTTTTCAGATGTTATAAATATTATAGACATTGCCTATTTCTATTCCAGAGTATCTGAAACTCTAGCTTATCTTGGGATGAATTAAACAATTCCTAGCGTATTATCTTCTGAATGTCTTTAAATCTAAATCCTGATCCTCTGCCTCAGCAAAGACAGGACAAAAATGATAATTATACATGTAACATTTTATTTATAATTTTTTCTTTTTTACATATAGTAGGCCATTGAATTCTTTTTTCTTTTCTTTTTACAAAAACATTTTGGAAGGTTAAAAATTCTACCTTGTGGGGCCGAGCCCGTGGCGCACTCAGGAGGGTGCGGCGCTGGGAGCGTGGTAGCGCTCCCGCCACGGGTTCGGATCCCATATAGGGATGACCAGTGCGCTCACAGCGCTCACTGGCTGAGCGTGGTGCAGCCGGTCTCAAAAAAAAAAAAAAAAGGACAAAAAAAAAATTTTACCTTGTGGCGTAGAATAGAAGGATGTACACTTTATTACCTATCTATATATTGTCACCTATCACATTGATAAAGATGAGAACTAAGCAATCTTTTAAGAAAAAGATGTTGATATTGATTTATGCAGTTCAAAAGATATCATCTATTCGGAGATCAGAAGCCTTTACAATTTTAAGAATGTTAATGAGTTTTTTTATATGCAAATTGAGACACTGGCCAAAATTCACTGAACATATATGACATCTATTTATTTAAATGCCTAGTTTTCTGACATGCAGAATTAATATGGAGGCTAATACAATGAATTAAACTACTTACCTAAAATATATCATCTTATAAACAATAGTTTTGTACTTCAATAATAAATTCACTGAAGCACATAAAAATTATGTACAATCCTTTCCATTACATTACAATGAAAAACAAAACAGATGCTGTTATGCTACTTCAAAAACCAGATCATAAAAATTTGGATAGAAACATCTATTTGTGTAAAATAAAAAACCAAGACTATTTCAGTTATAGTTCATTGGATTCATAGGACTTCATTATGAATCTGGATTTACTTACACATTTTCCAGTCATAAAAAAGAATTGCACTTAGCACTGTGTTTACTTTTTAGCTTATCAGGATTTTTTAAAAGTTGGCCATCATTTTTCCCTCTCATCATGTACTAAGTATGCACTTTTGTATGGGTAAAAAAAATTACCTAGCAAGGCACAAAGCAAAAGTAATATTAAGTTATCCAATTATGTTGAAACAATGAGATCATTACGAATCAAAATTCTAATGTTATTAAGTTTGCAATTGAACTGTCAGCCTAGAATTTCCTTTCCAATATCTTAAACATGTAAAAAGAAATTGACTGGACTAAAAAGCATGGTAACACTGACCAAAGAGTACTCAATAAACTGTTATGTACATAGTAGGGAGCATTAAAATAATGATGAGTAGAGACACTGAATCCTTCCATTAGACCAATCACTAAAGTTTCTTTATCTAAACATCTAAATTGGCTAATACCTACGATCCTCAGGTCCCTCTCTGCCTCCTGAATTTTATGGTTTACTAGTACCTAAATTTTCAGTACAACATTTTAGCTTATTAATTTTACTAAACTATAAATAACTTAATTATGAATCTAAACCACCCAAGTGTCCTATCATTTCAAGAATTCATATCACAGCCAAACCCTTTTTGGTTTGGCATTGGCATCTCCTTAACTCAAAAACTAAAAGAGATGTAATGTTATCAGTTAAAAAAAAAAGACACTAACTCAGATTTCAAAGAAAGCATGAACATTTCCCATTATCAGGAGACTAAATTACAGGGATTTTTTTTTTTTTTAACTTGAAGACAACTCAGGATACCATCAGTCCAACACCCTCATATAGTATTGTAAATATTCTTATCAGTCACAACCAAGTGAAAATAAAGTATAATATCTCATGCATTTGGTTTTTAAAATAAAGATTATTAACTTATTTAAGCTCTTCTATTAATGTTAATTCTTAGTATTAATAAACTATTCTTTCCTCATATGTTAGACTGTAAAATGTAAGCTACAAGAGAATTTAATAACTATAGTCAGGAGAACTACTTTCATTTTCTGAGAGAGGGAAAAAGTCATTTGAAGGAAGAAAAAATCCAGCATACTTACCTAGTATAAAGTGTGAGAAGACTTTACTGTTAATGGACTAAACATGGTTGAAAATGCTATAAATTTAAAACTAAATTTCTGGTATTTTATTTTATTAACAGTTTTAACCTCAGAGACCCACCCACTCAAGCTTGCTGTGTATGTTTCCTGTTGAGTGTGGAAATTTCAGAGAAAAAAATACCACACTGCATCACTGTGTTTGCTATGCGGTAAACTTATTTTCTGACCATGGCACCTTATTTTTCTGTTGTATGAGAACACCGTTTTGCTCTCTTCTTTGATATATATGGCAATTGAAAAAGTGTGAAAGCAATTCAAAGAGTCAATTATTAGAAAAAGAAAAAATAATAACATTTAATTACTGTTAAAACAAATCTTATCATATAAAAAGTTTAAGCAGACACCTTTTCTATTTATACTGCCAACTAAGATTCCAAGAAAGAAAAAAACTCTAGAATTCTCTAATAATTTAAAAATTAACTTAATAATTGTTAAAGACATTAAGTGAATTTTGATAGACAAGCATCAGGTCATCATGAAAAGATTCTGATATATTGGCAAAACAATCCCAGAAAAGCTTTAGTATTTTGGAGACAGAGGGATCATTAAAAGAGCTCAGTTCTATTAAAACCTTGTCCCAGCTGATGACTCATTATTTCAAGGAGGACTCATACAATTCCAACAAAACAAAGGAACAGGAGAGTTATTTCAGGCTTATCATATTAGAATTTTAGCTCTACTATTCATTGAATAATGCATTTTTTAAAAATAAAATAACCTCGGGCCGGCCCGGTGGCGCACTCGGTAGAGTGTGGCACTTGGGAGTGTGGCGGCGCTCCCGCCGAGGGTTCGGATCCCATATAGAGACCGGTCCGCTCACTGGTTGAGCGCGGTGCGGGCACGACACCGAGGGTTGCGATCCCGTTACCGGTCACGAAAAAAGACAAAAAGGAAAAAAAAAAAATAAATAAATAAAATAACCTGTTAACTTCGTATTTTAATAATGGATACAAAACATACAATTAAGATGCAGGTATAACTGCATATTTCTAAAATCAGAAATGATAAAAACATTAAAACATAATGCTTCTAAAGAAACCATTTGAATGTAATATTAACCTTAATATATAAATACACTTATTATTTGGTACTCATATTAGGACATCATACTACAGTACAACTAGTAATCAAATCACATGTTCTATATTTTTATCAATATTAAGCAAAGAAAAAAGTTAAGCTTATTGTTAGTAAAGGAATAAAAAAGGTATAAGGATATTGTTATGGTATAGTCATAACACTAAAAATCAGAAAAATATTTTGATTTTAACAAGTACTGAAATGAGTGTTGCAAATAAGTTATAGTACTAAGAACTAGAACAAATATATTCTAAATTAAAACAATGCAGTTGACAGTAAGTAAACTATTTCTTAATACCAATTGAAAGAAAAACAATTTCATATTAACATTTTACTGTTAGTACTTTTTCTTCTTTTTTTTTCTTTTAGAACTTTCTAACTGGAAATTATGGTATCTAAGACTGTATAAGGAAGGATTTTGGATAATTTCAATAGTCACAACTACTGGGGTAGGGATCTCTGTGTTCTCACTTTCTTTTTTCTCTCTTTCAAAATATGAGTAACCAAGTCACTAATGTGGCACCAAGATTTATATTTAATAGAGAAAAAGACATTTCCCTTAGAAATCTAAAATTAAGATAAAATAAATGGATTTCAAAGCTTTTTTGAACAAATGCTGAAATAATTTCATCATTCAAATTTAAGTAAACTTATCACAGCAAAATCTATAGCCCTGACTAGCTGAATCCTTCCCACATCAAGGCATTTTCACTGACTGTTTTCCTGTTTGGGGTGTATTATTCATTGACAAATCAGGATGAAGGTAACCCCAGAATGAAGGAAAAAAAAATGTATGTAAAATTTATATATTTATTTGTTGGCAGCTGGCCGGTAAGTAAATTTTATTATTCAAATACACTAAAAACATGTTTCAATAATATTTTGTTTCAAATGTCCTTACTTCAAGGATCTCATAGCATTATTTCAGGACACATTACTGCGATAGCCTCAGATAGTCTTAGCAGTAATAACTACTCTGGAGGCAGGGACATGGCAGGGTAGAGGGAGGAATCCTAAATTTAAATCTACAGTTTATGATAAAAAGAATTTAACTGTTTAAAGTTTTATTACCATTATAAATGAGCAGATTTTTCAACATCAAAGAAAATATGCATAACATGTTAAGTGATAAAATCAAGCAACAAAAAGTATGAAACAACTTTGAAACAAATATACACATACATATAAGTATCTCTGTGAGTATATGCACAGGAAAATCTTGAATAGTAAATACCAAAAAATACATTAAGGGATTGTTTCAGGATGAGAGTTTTCCTTACATTATTTGACTCTGTTGGCATTTTAAAAGACAAGGAGATATTACTTAACATTGCTAGAAAAAAAGAGCAATTTTCACCTTTGGAGGGAAGAAAAACAAAAACACAAACTCCTTTTACTCAGAAACACAAAGTAGGAAGGTCTTTTGAATAAAGACCAAGAGCAAAATTTAAACAAAGTAAAACCAAAGCAAAATTCTCTAGTTCTCTTTATTAAAACTCTTGTCTCCAGCAGTAGATGCCAAGCACATAACTCTTTAATTGAAGGACTTACACTCCCTAAGTCATTTTCACTGAAAACCAACTGTCTCTAACACACCTCTATTCAATTGATCAACTTCTGCTAGTTCTACCTACAAAATGTTTCTCAAATTTGTTCCTTATTCTCCATTCCATCACCAATGTTTTAGTTCAGGCCTTTATCATCGTCACTTGGATTAATGCAATTAACCGTCTAATTGGTCTCTGGATACTCAGCCTTTACATACTAATCCATTCTCTATTTTTGCTTATAAACTCTTTTCTAAAACATAAATCTGATCATGTAGTTTCACGTGTTAAAAAGCAAACTGACTACAATAGACCCTAAAATAATGAAGCCAATAAATGGAATACAAACAAAAAGCAACTTATCTGTTTCTTAACAGTATGATTTAAATAAATATGGAAATGTGTTGGTTAACATATGACATGTCATTTTATTTCCCAAAAATGTTTAAAAAAAGGACACCAACCTCCCAGCAAAATGTTATATTGATAATATAATACTGGATTCAGCCTATTCAGAGCTACGATGCTTGGTATATGATTAATGCTCACATTTTAAAAAATGAATCAATAAACTAGACAAACTAGTTTATCACTCCCTCAACGTAATTTATTATTTAACTAAAAAAGGATCATGTGATAATTCTGTAATCATATTTAGAAAATGGATTTTTAATCCTTCTTTTAAAAAAATTTAGACACTGAAACAGAATTGGCTTACCTTGCAAATACCCTGTCTTTATTTGCCTTTTCTTTGCCATACTGAACTGACTGGACTTCAGTTCTCCCACTGAAATACACAAATATACACAATAGAATCTTAAAGAGAACACAAGATAAAGTGACAATACACAACATGATTATACTACAATTTCATAAGAGACAAGACATTTCTAGCAGAGAAAAGGAAGCAGAGAATAAGGAAAGACTGGACTATATTCTAGTTATACCTGGATAGATGAAGCTTAATTACAGTTCTTTCAATAACAAACAAAGATATGTTCCACAGACACTTCAGTTTTGGATACTTCTTTGAGAGTGAGTATAAGAGAAATAATTTTGTGTGGGAAGAATTCCTTCTGTTATGCCCTGGGAAGGCACTCTCTCCAGAGGCAGAGATAGGTTGCCATGCCCTCACTCAAACCCTCCAGCCCCGCCTGAGATTCAGCTACTGTCTCCTCCACTACTCTAACGAAGGAGCTGAAACATGGGGCCAAACTGGGCAGACTTGCCCGTTGCAGTGAGGAGGAGGCCTGTTAGTGGGAGAGGGTTTGGATTCGTGTTGAGGATAAGTTGCTCTTTCTTTGGGCAAGCTTTTCTCCCCCCCCCCCTTTTTTTGTGGCCAGTATGGGGCTGCACTCTAACCAACTGAGCTAACCGGCCAGCCATAGCTTTTCTTCCTTGTCTACTGCTAGTGATCACAGACATGAAGACTAGTTACATCCTTAACTCCCGCCATGTCCAGACACAGCGTAACTCTACATTTTTGTAGATAGATAGGAACATTATATATTTTTGTATATAAGGACAAAAATATGGTGGGGAATGGACATTAGGGGATCTGTTTTGAAGCTCATTTGTCTGGCAAGCACAAAGTTTATACAGGGGAACTGATATTCCTCCGTCGTACACTAGTATGTTCAGACTAACTTTGCTAGAAGCTTGGTTCTCAGAGAATTTATTACTTGAGGCATCCCACTGCTTAAGTGTGAATGAACATAAATTTCTAGCATAACAAATAAAACCACTTACAAATGTAGACATTTAATGAATATAAAAGCTACTAAACATAGGTTTCCAAAGTTAAGCAAGCAATTTTAAGACCGTCTTCCATAGATAACTATAAATAAATGTGAACTGAATGGCATGCTTGTGAAGTTTTAATGGAAAAATGAGAAACATTACCATAATTTTTTAGTGTCTATAAGTTGAAGTTTCCTAAGAAAATATATTTTCTCCAAGAAGGAGCTAACAAATTAAGGTTCACCACTGTTTGTATTTCCACATTAGAATGATTTTAATCCCCTGGATATATTGAACAGAGATAAGAATATACGTATGAGGAGGCTGGTGGACAAAGTAATAAATCTCTGATATTCCCAGTTCTATTTCTCAGTCAAAATAATATTTCAACATTCTAAGAATGACAATAGTTCCAGTATTCCCAACCATTGTTTATTATGAGGGGGAAAAAGTTATGTAGTGCATACCCATTAGGGATTAGGACTGTGTCCAGCTTAACATTTGTCATACTGCCATGTCTACCTCATTTACAAAGCTATTAATCATTTTGATGACTAAAAAGTACCTTGGATATGTTTTTTAAGTTTTTAAGGACTACAAGCACAAAACTTAATCAACATTAATTTAATGTGAACTGAACTGTCATAGGTGCCAATCATATCTTGTGCCCTACTATGTTTTGCAGGGAGCTG